GGTTGCGGCTAGCCGCCACCCGGCTAACCGCAAGCGCAACCGCATCCTGCGGTCTACCGGACGGCTGGCCGCAGTGCGGTTAACCGCTTGGTGCGTAGGTACCCTTACACTTAAAAATATATCAAATAATTAAGAAAGTCAAAATGTGCCCATCTATACATATATGTTATGCTATAATTAGAAATAAACTCAACATGCTTGACAAGTGGCAAGTTGCGGTATTAAGGTCTGTCCACACATACCCGGGACGTGGACGGGGCGTGCTTCGTTAGGGGCTCAAAAAATATCGTTGCGTATATTTTGTATGAACTCGTTCACATATGTCCGTGTCCGGGACGGGCCCGCAGTTCATAGAAACTAGCACGCCACGTCCACGTCCCGGGCACGGCCCTGATTTGTGTGGATAATCCTTTAAAATACCTATTGCTCGGCTTTGTTCGGCAACAGCTGTATACTTTTTTCACCCCGGGGATCTGTTAAAACGCGAAAAAAGATCGGTCATTGTTCTAAATGTTTGCAAGTGCCGATGCCGTGCAAGTCAATGACCTTTGGATGAAATTTGTTTACCGCGATTAAATAAAAAATAGAAATTTACGAAATTTTTTTCAATTTATTATATATATATAGGGATTTGGGTTCAGTTTCGGATATAGAACGACCTTTGTAAATATGGCGAGAATGCAAATTAACACATTGTACATATTTTTTTTGTTATTAGCTGTTTAACATTACCAATTAAGTTAGACATTATTTATCTGGTTTGTAATTTAAGTTGTAAGAAACTAGGGAGAAAGATTGTGTATTATGTAGATATTGTGCATCTATTACTATGATTACTAATGTGTTTTCTTTTAACCCTCGTTCGACAATAAAGTCAGTCTCACATTGCGGGGTTTCCACGGCGTTTCGTCTCTTACCTAATTTCCGTATATAAACTAATATAGTATGTAATTAATCTGTGGGCTGGAAAAAAAGAGAAATTGTGGAGGATCCGGTCGAGACCGTTTTATTGATTAATGAAGTCTTCGGCGGAACAGCGCGTCATAGGCGATGGTGATGATGAAGCGGCGCGTGCAGCTGCTCGTGGCCGTGCGCCACAGCCACGGGGGGCCCCGGGGCCACGGGCGCCGACAGCCCGCGCTCGCGGACCAGCGCCACCAGCTCGCGCAGCAGCTCCACGCCCTGCAACACGTGCCTCGTCAGTCCGCCGCGCGAGCAGAGCAGCGGCTGCCGAGCCGCCGCGGCCCTCACCTGAGCGACGGCCTCGGCCTGCTTCTCGGCGGCCAGCGCGCTGCGCATGGCTGCTTCGGCCAGCAGCTCCTCGGTGGCGAGACGCGCGTCGTGCGCGCCGGCGCCCGAGCCTTCCGAGCACGCGTCGTCGTCCAGCGCCAGCGACGGCTTACGTTCCTCGTCCGAGTGGCTGCCGCGGCGCACGCCTCCGCTGCCGCCGCCGCTGCCGCCGCCTCCCGAGCCTGAAGTCGTCATTACCGATTCTTTAAACGGTGCTTGACGACAATAATTGCATCCAGGGCATGCATTATCGGGAGATTTTCAATTCCGGAACTAAATTCGATACTGGACGATCAATATCGGAATTTCGGAACTGGTTAAAATCAAACAAAACTAAAAATTTTAAACAGTGGAACGGTGAGTTTTATGGACGAGAATAGCCCAAGCGGGCTTTGACATTGTCAATAACTGGCTTAAAAAAAACTTACTGACCCTAAATACGGAAAAAACTAAATACATGACGTTTTCCTATAACTCACTCACCCAACCGACTTTAAATTCATGTACAATATTAGCTCATAACTGTTTTGGCTCGCTATCTGAAAGTACTTGTAAATGCCTCAACTAAGCAGTACAAACACCATTAAATATTTAGGTATAACAGTTGATAAGTATTTAAATTTCAAGGCCCATATCGAAAGTCTTACAGCTAGAGCACGAAAATTAATATATATTTTCAAAAATTTAAGACATGTCGCCAATGAAAAGCTACTGAAAACAGTATATTTATCACTTTGTCAATCACTGTTTGTATACTGCATAACGACTTGGGGAGGCTCCCATAAAAATACTTTGCTAAATTTAGAAAGAGCACATAGAGCCATTCTGAAAGTTAGCACTTTCCGACCTTTTCGCTTTCCCACAGCAGAACTCCTTGCTAAATGTGATGTACTTTCAATACGCCAGCTATTCATACTACTAACCGTAATAAAAAAGCATTCACTAACACCATATATCCCATCACTCCAAACCAGCAAAAGACGATCAGACATTGTTTGTTCAACTGAACGGTTTCGAACTGAACACTCCCACAGATTCTTTTGCTTTCTTGGTAGCTATTTGTATAATAAAATAAATCGTTCTCTATCTATATATCCTATGAATAAGTTTCAATGTAAAAAACCGTACAAGACTGGTTAAAAAGAATTAACTATAATGACACTGAAAATTTTATATCAGTTTTTAAGTAATATAATTATAATTAAGATTTATGTATTATTGTAATTTATTGTTATTGAACAAAATATGTTGACTAACCGTTATGCTATAATCACCAATTTAGATACCTAAGACACAAGTAAACAATTTTACTTAGTTTAGGTATCACCTAGATTAATTTGCACTACTAACCTTAATTAAAGTAATGTAAACATAAAATAATTTCATTGTTTGCGACAATTTGGCGCATATATGTAAATAATAGGTTATTTAATAAGATTTATGTATGTATTTAGGTTAATATTTTACACAGAAATAAATTTATCTTTATCTTATCTTTATTTAATAGATACTTATTATAACAAAAAATTAATACATCAACACTGTCTAGGGATATTTCACGTTTATTAGCAAAAAAAAAAAAAGCAGTGGCCATAACAAAAATATTTTAACGTCAATTTGTTCCTGCCACATTATTTATGTATTCTATATTCAAATTTCAGAACAGCAAACAATACTATTTCGCAAAGGTCCTTAACAAAGAATGAGAGATCATTAATATAAATGAGAAATAAGAAAGGTCTAGTATTGAGCCCTGCGGGATACCCATTTTTACTATAGAACCCAAAGAAGTCAGTCCATTTATGTCCACTTTCTGAATTCAACCGTTAAGATATGACGAGACAAGTTCCAACGCCTTGCCACTTACTCCGTAATATTCCAGCTATATACTAGATGGCGCGCATTGCGCCGGGCCGCTAAAGCGGTCCGCGAGGGCCATCTTTATATCTGGTGACAAATTGGGTCGGCCATCTTAAAAAAATTTTGTCACCCGCCGCCCTCTGACATTTGGTCGAGCACCCCCCGCCCATCTCCAATACTCGCCGAGCTACAGGGGTCTGAAATTTGTATGGCGGCCATCTTGTTTATTGGAATTTCGGATTTTTTTCACTTCCGGTAGAAACTGCCCAGAGTGGCGGCCATTTTCAATTTGACGACTCTGCCGGTAGGTGTTATACTTTGGCTGCGCAGCCGTGGTTCCACCTGATGCAGTCCACTTTTCGAAGATTTCGGATTTTTCTGGTACTCACCGGAGCCATCCGATCACGACTCAAGTACATCATTTTGATCCACCGCTACTCCCTGGGAGAACAATTATCTAAATGACTGGATCACTCCATCAGTGGTAATCGAGCTATATACAGTACGAGTCATGTATGTGAGTGATGAGGAGGTCATTTCCCGATTTGGGCCAATTTAAGAAACGAACGTTTCTAAGTTGGTTTTGGTATTTTGGATTATCGTTAATTTGGTATTCATAGTACAGGAAATTAGTCAGCAGTTTGGCATTTTTTCCCCCTAAATACTTCTCTTTGGCATAGCTTTCAAGAAAATGGAATCTAACAGATATGGTTGAGATACAACAACACTATAATAACTATCTCATTTCCACTACATCGGGAAGTATGCCTTACATTTTTTACAATTGTGAAATCTTGTACTCGTAATCTATTACGCCTCAATTCAATTCAATTCAATAATGTATTGCAAAACCATAATGTACATAATAAGATGTTACAAATGTAGTGAGACCAGTATTATGGGCCCTGCCTCCACCCTGCCTGCCTACAATATGCCTCTTCACGCCTCGTTTGAAGGACCCCATATCATAAGAGGGAGGGAAGACATGTGCCGGAAGGGAGTTCCATTTGTCAACAGTGCGGCAGAGAAAGGAGCCACCGAACCTTTTAGTACGCGATGGAATGCGGCAGGTAGTGAAACGGTGACTACGAAGGCCAGCACGCGTGCTTCTGAGCAGGAACGGGGAAGGGGGGATGAGGTTGAACAGCTCCTCAGAGCACTCACCATGGTACATGCGGTAAAAGGCGCTAAGCGATGCAACATCTCTACGCAGTTGCAGAGGTTCAAGGCGTGATGAGACCTCTTCGTCGCCTATAATTCGAGTAGCACGACGCTGTAATTTATCCAAGGCATCGAGTAGGTACTTGGCGGAGCCGTCCCACAAGTGCGAACAATACTCAACGCAAGACCGGACCTGTGTTTTGTACAGCAGGCATAACTGGTCCGGCGTGAAAAAACGTCGCACCTTGTTCAGGACTCCGAGTTTCCGTGAGGCTGTTTTGATCACAGATTCGATGTAGCTCCTTGGATTCAAATCACAGCAGATTTCCATACCGAGCAAGGTGAAACTGCTCCGAGGTGAAAGTGCTGTGCTCATCAGAGAAGGCATGGGAAGGAACGGCGACAATTTTGTTGTTAACGCGCAAACCTGTGTTTTCTTGGCGTTGAACTCAACAAGATTACTGGATCCCCATGCAGATATGAGGTCCAATATCCTATTGAGCTCAACGACAAGATCAGATCGCTCTCTGTCAGTATCGGCGCGCCCAGCTGCGGGGAATCCATGATATCCCCCATGAACAGTGCTATCATCTGCATAACAATGAATATTCCCAAGTGGAAGCATATCATTGATATGCAGAAGGAAAAGCGTGGGAGATAGGACGGATCCCTGCGGTACGCCGGCGTTCACATTCACGAACCTCGAAATGCTGCCGTCAGAAACGACGCGAATTCTCCGCTCACGAAGGAAATCGGCAATCCAGCTGCATAACTGGGCTGGCAAACCGTACGCCGGGAGCTTGGAGAGAAGAGCTTTGTGCCAGACCCGATCGAACGCTTTGGCTATATCGAGGCTAACAGCCAACGATTCGCCACGTTTGTCTATAGCCTCACCCCAAATGTGCCATAAGTACGCTAGAAGGTCACCCGTTGATCGTTTCGGACGAAACCCATACTGCCGATCATTAATTATGGAGTGATCTTCTAGGTATTGGGTCAGTTGTTTATTAAGGATCCGCTCTAAAACCTTGCATATTATGGAAGTAATGGCTATGGGACGGTAATTATGCGGGTCTGATCGGTCGCCTTTTTTGGGAACTGGTTGCACATTAGCCTCTCTCCAAGAGTCCGGCACACGACCTGAAGAGAGCGACAGACGATACAGTCGCGTTAGCACGGGAGTCAACTCAGCTGCGCAATTCCTAAGTACAATCGCTGGGATACCATCAGGACCACTAGCTTTCCGGACGTCGAGAGACTGCAGCTGCGTACGCACATCGCATTGTCTGATACGAATATCAGACATCGTGTAGCCACAGTGAGGTAGAGTTGGTGGCTGTGCGTTACAGTCGTCGAGACAGGAGTTAGCCGCAAACAGATTTGCCAAGAGGTCGGCTTTATCTTGCGGCTTGTGGGCTAGATTGCCGTCAGAATATCTCAGCGGTGGCAGCGAGGGCTGGCAGAAGTTCGACGCAACGGCTCTGGCCAGACGCCAGTAGCTACGACTACCTGTGGGATGCGTCAAGAGTTCTTGGCCAACTCGTGCAACGCGCTGAGCATCCGCTCTGATGTACGCTCTTTTGCAAGACCTGGTGGCATTATTGTAGGCTGTTTTAAGTGAGTTCGTATTGGGATCGTCTGAAGCTAGACCCCTGATCCAAGCGCGGTATGCAGTCTGTTTGTTCTCAACAGCCACAGGACACTCGCGGTTGAACCAGCGGTTGCGCCTCCCTTTACTGACGAGATCCGAATGCGGGATGTAGTATTCCATCCCGATTAAGATCTCATCAGCAACGGCAGTCGCGCTAGCTGTTGGATCCACCTCACTAAAACAGCGCTGCCGCCAGGGAACGGATGCAAAATAGTCCCGCATACCGTCCCAATCTGCCGACGCATAATGCCAAATGCGGCGTTTAGCCACAGTAGGTGGTGGTGGCAGTAACGTTGCCACTTTAGTGGATATCAAGCAGTGATCCGAAGTGCCCAGAGGGGCTTGGACCACCACCCGATATCCAGCCGGGCGAGACGTCAGCAGAAGGTCCAACAAAGAGGGCGCGTCACCAACCCTATCTGGAATCCGGGTGGGCTGATTCACCAGTTGGGTTAAATCGTGTGTGAGAGCGAATGTATGGGCAGTTCTTCCAGCATGGTCAGTTTTAGA